GTGTCGACGCGTGCTGAGGAATTTCAGTGGTCTATGAGGGGAGGTGTGCGAGCGAGAGAGTACGGTAGAGCGTGGCGTGGTATCGGTGCTCTCCGTCGGTCCAACGCACTAGTGACGTTGCGTCACACAGTTTATTGACCTAGTCGTGTACGCCGTGCACCATAGCCGTAGGCTGTTCCATCCGGTGTTTGGGTCGTTCAAGCCGGCAAAAACAATTCAACACGAACAAACCTGCGTACGCCCAATACATACCGCGTTAGCTTCCTCACTTTCTCGTGAGCCATCGCGGAGGGTGGGCGCGCGTCTTATACTCGTCCTTTCTCTTATTACTAACCTATTGTTTGTTGCAGGCATTCGACAACCATCAATTTATTTACTGTGCATATTATTAATTTATTTACTGTGCATATTGTTGTGTCCCCTCTCTTGTTACAAATCCCTTGTATGTTACAGATGTTCGAGAACCATTGACTTTGATATTTATTTTCTTATGTACTGTGATTCATTTATTGTGATTTATTTACTGTGCATATTATATATTCTATGTGTATTGTATAATGAAAATTATTTTTCCAATCAGTTATTCCATTGAAAGAAGACATCGATCAACGTCTACATCTTCAAAGCATGCATCTACCACTGCGTTAAGTTACTGTAAGTTAAACTTAAATCATAATTCAATATTCATTGTTATATTCATATTCATCATCACATCGTTTATTATTAATTTTAGTCTATCTATTAATAGACTTAAATTGTGACCATCCATTGTGCATACCAAGTTATTATTAATTCATTTTGCTCGTTGATTCTCTACACAGACTTGGGGTATGGACAGTGGGTCTGTACCTAAGGTACGGGCAGTGGGTCTGTACACTAAGACTGTTTGCCGATCCCTCTGGTTTCTATTGAGAAGCCAGATATCGGACGTGTTTAGTCTTTGCCTGGTAAGTAGGATTTGGAGAAAGACTCGTGCGTGCAAGGGTACGGAGTAGTCGGGAGGCTGCTGCGTAAACAGAGAATCTCACTTGCACTACCATGCTTGTGAACTCTTTTGGTTCGGGTCTGGTACGCAGGTGACCAGCCCAAAGCTCCATGACAGTAAAAAATGTATCCGGGTTAGCGAGGTGTCGCCCGTCTTTCCTATTTTCTTAAACCAGGTTCTGGCGACAACACTTTCATCGCGATACTTGTTCATACTGTAGTTTAACGCGTAGTTCATCGTAGACTTAATAACTGCTTGGTATATAGAATATTAGGTGCGTAAACGAAATGATCGATGGAACTTTTTTCATTCCGTCTATCTCTTTCATTTGAGTATTAGCGACTACGTAAAAAAAACAATATTAAACGCAGTAACTTTTTTGTACGCGAAGAAAAACTAATATAGGTCCGTCGGGATCAGAACCCAAGACTCCTTTCTAATACGTCTACTTTATAGCGAACGGACGGAAGAGAATCCGTTCACGACCATGGTCCCTTCTTAGATTTAACGTAGTTCACAAATTCACCGTTCTCATAACGTAGAGGGCAGCAGAAAATCCCTGACTTTTTACACTATCGGTATTTCAGAACATGAGACACGAAGTCCCATAAGATGATAGGTCTATCCTATATCTAGTCGGTGCTATTACTGTCATCTTTCGACCCAGGTCCATGTTTAGACCGAAGAATTGTAGTTGGCACGGAATAATACATTTCAATTCTTGCATTACCGATGTCTATACAGAAGCACGCCCTTGTTCACACGTATTTCTCACCACGTGCGCGTACCCTTTTTGTCGTTTAGCACGCCCATGCCGGAATACATACGGTGTCGCGTTTAACACGCATATCTCATCACAGAAAGCGAAATGTATATAATACTGTTTTAATAATGTTTTTATTGGTGGCAATTTCATTGCTTCTTGTTTCGCGGATCACACGTAATGGGTAAAAGATGCTAACCGAGCTAGACATTTGCCACTAAAATATGTCACGAATTATTACCTTTTTCACATAATACTTTATTACGCAGTATGTTTAGAAGAATCGATTTATGTAACAAAAAAAGTATTTTTATTCTATAGTATTTCAATATCATTAATAAAAGAACATAATTAACTTTGAGAACTCAAAAGATCCTCCACCTACGAAAAAACTGTAACTGCTAAGTAATAGCCCTCTCTATGCTAAAAAACTTCTGTGAATACACTCTTCTGATATCTCTAAAAATAACGAAGATAATTAACGTAACCGTGAAGTGCGTATATCCAGCCCACCCTATATGCAACTGCGTCGCACAACTGAACGGTCGAGTGGTGGGGAAAGCGCTCGAGTAACTGGTCACCGATTCCAACCGATTCCAGTACGGTTCCTGGAAATTTAGCCCCCTACATCCCCGACTCATGAGGGAATCGAATGTCTACTGTAAACCGAATGTTAATTTGGCATACCCTCACTCAGTGACCAGGACTCATGACCAGGCTCACTGACCCTCACGATTGGAGCTGAAGACCGAAAAATCAAAGATCATGTTAGCCGAAAAGGGGAGGAGAGCGAAGAGATAAGTGGTTTGGAAGTAGGGAAAAGAAACTATGGAAGAGGTAAAAGAGTTCAAATATATAGGGTCTTTAATACAGAGAAATGGAGAAGTGGATAAACACAGCAGAAACGGTCAGGAAGGCAAAGGCGATCATAGCAAAGCTGTGGGGAATAGGAAAGAGAAAATTTAAGAACGACTTTAAAACAAGAATAACGATGTATCGCTAGCAGAAAGTATCTTGATATACGGTGCAGAAGTATGGGGATGGAAGGAGCAAGAAAAGATGGAAAACATAAAGGTTAAGTACGTGAAGTGGACATTGGAATTGGACAGATGAACACTGACGTACATAGTGAGAGAGGAGACAAAGCTGGAGAAACTTAAAATAGAAACAGGAGGAATGGCAAGGAAATATGAAAAAGAAATAATGGCAAGGAAGGAATGCACGGAAGAAATGAGAAAAAGGAACAGCAAAGAATTAAAATGAGATAAAGAAAGAAGAAAATATTTCGAGAAGAGTGAAATGGCACCAGAGGAGGAAGAGAAGAAGAAAAGAGAAAAAACAATTGGTAGATCGAGTTAGGGAAGTGCAAAAGCAAGAACAGGATGTAGGAATTAGAAACTCTAGATATAACAAGGAATATGATAGGATAAGACCAATAGCACTGTTGAAATATCTCAGCAAGAAAGAGTGAGTAAAGGATCAGAAACTAATAGAGACATTCAGGTGTGGAAAAGAGGAATAGGGAAACAAATTTTGGATTAAGGAGGAAGAAAAAAAGTGTAGGTTGTGTGAAGAGGAGAGAGAGACGATAGAACATTGGAGAAATAGATGTAAAGAAATGAAGGCAGAAAGAAGACGAGTGGAGGCAATACTAGAGGGAAACGGAGCAGGAGAGGAATGGATAAGAAAAATAGAAGAGAAATTAAAGGAAAAGGAAAGGGAGAAAGAAAAGAGAGGCAGCGAAAGACAAAATTAAACATAGCTAGAATAGTACAAACCAGAATTAGATAGGCTAAATTTATACTGTCAGATTGTTATTTTATTTGATATTATAGCTTTATGTATATTATAACAATGAGTATATTTATATACATGTTGCTTATTATAATTAGTATTTGAAGCTACCTAGTGAGTAAGAGTAGATTTATGTTTGTAAAACTAATACCCCTCGAAGTCCGAAAGAACAAAACAGGTATCAATAAATAATATCATTTGTTATTGTGAAGTCTGAACATTTAACAAAATTTGTTAATAAACTTAATCCATCATATAAAATTCCTACAAGAAGTACTTTCTCAACAAGTATACTTGGTGCTCGTTACAAAGAATTTGAACAATCTAGTGCTAGTACTGAATCAAGGGATGGCATTCATTTAGTAGATGGATGGAAATATTCAACAACACACACTAAAAATGTTGTAGGGATGTTACGTTTACATAATCAAAAATATGTTTTTCTGAAACCATGGAACTTCAGTATTCTGAGTGAAATTGCACAGGTAAATAAATGTATTATTTCAAGAGAAAACTATAATTCACATATTTATGCAGTAGTCACAGATAACACTGCTAATACGATTCGTATGGAATAATTAGTAGATAGTATATCGCATGTGACTTGTAACAGCCATAGTACAGAAATAAAAAATCTCAATCACGCTTGAAAAATACTGCCGCTGTACTGCGATTTGTCACTTGCGTAGGTAAATTACAGTATGTCGATTACCGTAATATACATCTATATTAGACGTATATATACGTGTATGTACTATACGTTGCGTATTTTACGTACCCATCACTGCTCACGAGGTCGTACTAAAAAAAAAGCCCATAGGTCCCACCGAGATTTGAACTCGGATCGCTGGATTCAAAGTCCAGAGTGCTAACCATTACACCATGGGACCGGTTGTACTAAACGTTTCTATTTTTCCGTTGTTCAGCCCAAGATAGTTTTTTTATATTCAATGTATTTTTATGCACATGAAATAATACATACTGCTTTTAAAACGACTTTCACAATTTCCTTTATCATTACTATTACAATTCATTACAATTGACAAAAAATTCGTTTATTTTTAAACTTCCCAGTCAGCCGAAACTGCAAAGCCAAATTTTGGCCAATGCCTGTTATAAAGTTATGGCTACAAGTTTGATGCAAGATTTGCTATAACTCTATGAGCAAACTTCTTTTACTGAGAGGTTACAAAGTGAAATTATAAAATAATTAAAAATAAAAAGTAAAACCGCCACAGTGGGATTCGAAGGGGGTCTCCCGACTGTTGTTCATATGTTTAGGTTGCTGGGCATCGCGTCGGAAACATGATTTTCGGTCCAGTGAGATTCTCGAACAGGGTTTCCAATGTTTCCTCATTCTTTATGTTGCCGGTGACGCAGGTATTCGGCGGAAACACCCGACGGCCAGCTCACACAGCAGATAGTAGCAAAGTATGCTTGTGTGGCAGAAACTGTGGAATAAAGTGGGGGACGCCGGGACGTCGTGGTGGTGGAACAAAGTTCCACGATTCTGGCATCATTGCTGTAAAGTGTGAAGTTCACACTGTGAACAGTGTGAACAGTGTAAATGTAAACCCGTGAACGGTAGACTCCTCTCCCCGGGGGGAGCAGCACAAACTGCGCATGCAGTGCTTAGCTCGCTGTTACAAACGGTTGAACAATAAAAGAACTAATACGAAAAAGGTCTCTATGGTAAATTGCCTTCTTTCCTAACAAATAAATTATTATTGTATATATAACGGAATTATACTTTCAGTATAATTTTCATTTTTTGATCGAATTCTGTGCTTTGTTATTAAATTATTTATAGGTTGCCCTAAATCGTCCATTAATATTTTAATTAGATCTACATCCAACCGTATTGTCCAGAACTAATCTGAGCAAACCTGCATTCATTTTGTTATATTTTATTATTATTTTAATAGAAGACAATAATGTTCAGGCATGTTGTAACAACTATTTAAATTTAGTGCCACAATCTGCTACAAATGTATGTTATGTATCACACTACCCTAAATGCCCTAAATATCATTCAGGAAAATAGAAGGATATCTGATCACTGATGGATTCGCAACGGTTAAGTCCTCTTCACTACTCTTCAGTCCGCTTAGAGCGCTTAGGCATAGATCAGCATAGACTGCTGCTTACTTCATAGGCGTGACAACGTGATCTCTGAACAAGTTAGCAATGGAAAAGATGTAGAAAACATTGTCAGTAGCCATGAACGAAAACATTCTATTGAAAGTCCTATGTTAATATCTTCCATAATGTTTATAAATGCACTATGCTCATAGTTGCATAAGTTTATTAACAAACATATAAGCCGTGGTTAATCAGTTGTTAAATGTATTACCGGTGGGTAAATTTGTTAATATTAACTGAGTGCAATCTCTCCTTTTTTATTGTCAAAGTAGATTAAAAATTGATTTAATAGATGCATTACTTTCACAATTTTAAATATACTTTTTTGGTTATAGTTACTATTAAAAGTGTTAATTATTTTATTTATAGTTACTGTTAGAATGATTATTTATCTATGTTAACAGATTTTATTATATATCTATCTATTTAGTAATAGTTGTGACAAATTTTGTTATCCTTTATATATTTTAATATTTAATCTTATGAGTAGACTATGGATTTTATGCTTTTATAATACATTTGATTGTCTAAAATTCAATATAGTATATAGACAGTTTAATAAAGTTTAATACAACTTTTGTTTCGTTTGGAGCCTGATAGAACTTTTGACAAAGTAAACAAATTTTTATTTAATTTTAGTTCTTGTACATTAATACTTAAAGATAGATATTTGCATAAACATCCGCAGTCTACTTATAAAATATAATTGTTTTAAATTAATATCTTTTATTTTGTAATATATTTTTATTATAAAGTCCTTTATTATTACTATGTTATTGATTTTTGTTTATTTGATTTTTATTGAAAATTATTATTACCTTTTGAAACAAGCGTATACTTAAAAAATTCAAGTATTCTAATCTACTTCCTCTTTCAGAGATGTCAGAACACGTTGAATTACAACATTTAGTTGGCGGTGACATTGAAAATAATGTCACAGCAAAGCAAAAGCGATTTTCAATACTGTTATGCAAATCGTGCCCTTATCTTGGTTTAATATTAGCAACATTATCATCATTATTTTTCTCATTGTGTAGTGTCATTGTGAAAGGTTTGGTAGAAGTAAATCCAATGGAATTGGCAGCATTTCGGTTTGTGGGTGTATTATTGCCTGCGATCCCAATTGTAATATATAAGGGAGAGCATCCTTTTCCAAAGGGACGTAGACTAATGTTAATATTAAGAAGTTTTGTAGGCACCACTGGCCTCATGTTAAGTTTTTATGCATTCAGGCATATGCCTTTAGCTGATGCATCTGTTGTAGTATTTTCTGTTCCTGTATTTGTAGCTATATTTGCAAAAATATTTTTAAAAGAACCGTGTGGGATATTTAATGTCATTACAGTCTGCTTAACATTAATTGGTGTAATCTTGATAACACGTCCACCACTGATCTTTGGACACACTATAGAGTCTCTTTCTGATGTACATGTAAAAACAGAACATGCAGATTTATGGGGTGCTATAGCAGCTTTTTCTGCTACTCTATTTGGTGCGAATGCATACGTTTTATTGAGAGCTTTGAAGGGCCTACATTTTTCTGTAATAATGACAAATTTTGGTTCATTTGCCTTGATTCAAACAATAATCATTTCTTGGGCTATAGGTGCACTGTGTTTACCTCGGTGTGGAACTGACAGGGTTTTGGTTGTAGCACTTGCACTTTTTAGTTTTGGGGGTCAAATATTACTAACATTAGCTTTACAGATGGAACAAGCAGGTCCTGTTGCAATAGCAAGGTCAGCTGATATAGTCTTTGCCTTTTTTTGGCAAGTTTTATTTTTCAATGAAATACCAAACCGTTACTCGGTAGGAGGAGCAATTTTAGTTACGAGTTCAGTTTTATTGACTGGATTAAGGAAATGGGCTCTTTCATTACCAGAAACATCCAGTGTTAAAAAGTCTTTGGGGGTTTTAGTAATGTAAATTATAAATTACAAGAAACAAATACAAGTTAAAAATGTATTGTGTTTTTTCGTAACGTGAAAAATTTTGCTGTTGCTTTTTCTTATAGTTGATTTCTTAAAAGTAAACATTAAAGTAAAGTGAAAAAAATCTTTTATTTGTATTTAATATGCTAAGTAGTAATCTTCCTTATCTAATAAAAACGAAGCCTCACTTATTTATGTACATTATTACAATATATTTACACATATATATATATGAAGTAATATATAAACAGGCAAACTTTTCAAAATTTTATAAATTGCTTTAAACTTATACTAGAAATAAATGTATCATTATAGTTCTATAACAGGCCTACATGAGAAGTAATAACTATTACTACATAATATGGGATAATATAAAAAATGAACAAATGAACACATTCTATGCCAATTTTCATCTTTTCATTCCTTTAATTAGTCAAATGTAATTATTATTATACAAAGTAAAACAATCCATTACTGGTTATGGCTATACAAGTATCACTCAGAAAAACAAAATAAATTTAAATTTTGATTATAGAACAAGATTTCATATTATTAAGTAATAGAGCATTCATTACATTATTGTAACAAGATGCGTGATTTTTACCTGTAGCGTAAGTTGCTTGAGCTTCAATTTATATATATTTATAAAATACCTGTTGAGTGTGCATCTACTTTGAGGAGAATGAAACATATGTAGGTACCCTTAGAGTGTTCTGGTCCATGAAAAAGTTATCTTATATCTCATAGTATTCTCAATATGCTTGTTTACATCATCACAAAAAAAGATTATAATTGTATTATTAACTACTTTTTCTTATTATATGTTACAATAAAATGTTACATACTTCTTGAATTGATTACTCATAGTTACTATGAATTCTAGTCTAAAAGTCAGTATTATAATTATACATAATTACGGATAACTATGTTTTACAGAATGCACAAAATAACGAAGCACTTTCTTAAGATTGTATTACAAAATTAATTTTGTTATAACTATAAAAGTTTGTTATGTTCTGAATTCCTATGTAAATATTCACATCATAATATACTAAAAATATAATACCAAAATTGCACAAACATCAGCGAACAATCTAAGCTTACCAAAGTGAAACTAAGTAATAATATTATTTGATAAATCATAATCTATTACATATTTAATTATCTACTATAAATAATCTTATAATTATTATTAGTGATTAGTATGTTCTTTTAATTGCAACAATTGAACAATTTCTATGAAACATAAATTATAGTGTATGTACTGTAACCCTGTAAATTACCATCAGCATTGTATTTTATGCATATCAAAGATAATAGATTGAAAAAGTGTTTCCTTATTTCATGTGAACTGTTCCTGATCTTAGAACAAAATGTAATGAGCCAGTGTTACTTAAACTTGATACAGCATGAAAATATTTTTTAAACAACGAATTGCATAATATTTAAGCATATATCGATGTGTAGATACACATATAAAGTAGATATGAATTTGAATTTATAAGTTATTGTGTATAGAATACATTTCAACATGGTAAAATTTATAACAGAATGACGGTACTTCTTCTGACAGGAAAAAATGTAATGATAACAAGTTTGAGAAACATTATCTCAATTAAATAGAAATTGTCTTTTAAAAACATTAATTTCAAATGTTTGTATTAACAAATACAAGCATATGTAATGAAATCAATTATATATTTATAGGAAGTTTTAGTATATGTAATTACAATTGTAAAAAGAAGTAAGTTGGTACACATTCAATATAAGTAGAAAGTTTTTAATAACAGTGTAATTCCAATCATTTGTTTGTATGAAGTTACTATTAATAAGTAACAAAAAATGAAAGTGTATTTTTAAACAATAATAATATTTGAAAAATACCAAATAAAAGATAAAATATTGAGATGTATTGTGACATTATAGTAACTCTATTACATTGTAATTTATAATTTGTGTTAAATGTAAAAATTATGTAAAAATCATTACAAGTATTTTTTGCTGAAAGAATGTAAATCTGCAGTTGTAAAAGTGTGTTCTAATAATGAATAGTGTATTTAAAAAAGTAAATATACCTTTGAATTATAATTATATGACATAGTGTTTCATAATTCGTATCATAAATTTTGTCATCATTTTTTTCATAATTAGTTATTAAACAGTTTAACGTTATGAATGAGATATTTATATATTTCCAAATATAAGTGATTAATATTTTTAACTTTAATAGAATCTTGAAATTATTATATAATATTGCAGTACTTTTAAAGTAAATTTTCTTAAATCTCCCGCGTTTATGGTACAAATTTCCTACAAATGTCGTCGATCATACATTGGAGGTAAATAGAGACCATGGACCTGATGTTTAAAAGTTGGTTATTATCCGTGACATGTTTTAAAGCTGGTTATTTATAATTAAAGGTACAAGTTCCAGAAAATACACATTTATTAAATACAAATTTTATTTATTTTTAAATCCTAGTTTATTATAATATTTATTACAATTTTATTGATTCAGCAACAATCATATGATGTGACTCATGGGCTGTACTCTATGAATGATATTTTTTCTGATGAACCGTGAAGTTTTTTGAACGCGGTTCGAGTCCTGTAGAGTTTTTTTATTACATTCACTACATACTATATAATAAGTACAAGACGGTTTAAATTGAGTTAATTCGATTTCTACAGTTTATATAAAATATTTACAATCGTATAATATACTTACTTAATAATGGAAATATAAAAATTTAAAATATCTGTAAGTTATTTTTTCACGGAAAAGACGTCGAAAATATCGATCGTCGATTTTTAAAACTACGGCGCACCCTACCAAAAATCTCAAAAAAATTGAGAACGTTTTTGAATTTTCACAACTAAAATACTCAACTGAAAATTCAGATAAAAATTATTAATACGTGCCCCAGTAAATACTACCTATCAGATTATTTATAGAATTTTCGCATGCCATTAAATAAGGATTTTTGGTTCCCTTATCCGACTATACCCTTTAAAAAGATCGAAGATATACTTATAACGAAACATTTTAATCTAATGGATGTTTCTACGAATGTTTTTATATTTATGTACTCCAATGGTTAAAGTAATGGTAACATCTAATTGTAAGAATAATTTTTGTATTCATAACATAATAAGTATGTATAAAATATGAAATGTAAATATTGAAGAGGAAAAAATTCATCTCATTTCTTTTAAATACTTCACAAATTAATATTTTTCAAGTTTTTATTTTACTGAAAAGCTAGAAAGTGAAATTATAAAATAATTAAATATAAAAAGTAAAACTATGATAGGAATAAGGGGACGGGTGTAAGTTCAGTTTATCGGCGAGGGCAGGGGTGTGAAGCCTATTTCAAGGGTTAGAGAGCGGAGAGAGGTATCAAAGTTGATCAAAATGTGCCTAAATTTGATTGGTTGCATTTCTACGCATGCTCGGTACCACGAATTACGAAAGTGGTAACCACAAATTAATATAATTATATCAATGGACCATTCACAGGTCAAAGCGATTTTGTGGAGTTAATCGATTTGGCGAATGGGTGGCTCATTAAATGAAAATTGAAAGGGAATATACAAATTCAATTATTAAAATATATAAGATGAATTAAAATAGAGATATCGATTTGAAATCATTTATTGTTCTAAATTATCTAAATAATACCTTACGACGCTACAAAAATGTCTACCACATTATCATGTCTTTTACAACACGTTCCTTCGCGAGCACACTCGGCTTCCGCTAGAGGAGAAAGTGATGTAAGGGAAAGACCTCCTACCACTTGATCTCGGAGTTATTAAAAATTATGCGAAATTAACATTCGGGTTAACATTTATTTCAGTATTTGAAATAAATTTATCAAGCAGTAGGAGGCCCTAACACCTAAATATTTACATTGCTTTTTCCCCTAGAGGAAGTCGAGTTTGCCCGTCAATGTTTATCACTCGTCGCGTTACTGCGCATGTGTAAAGCAGCAGCCAATAGAAATTAGGCACACTTTTACCCCGTGCCCCTCTCGTAAAGGTACGATCCGTCACTATATTACTATGTCCATGATCCCATGCATGTCGCGGAACGTAAGAATAGTTACATTTGGGAAACGTTACTTTACCAGATTTCGATTGTAAAATACTAAACTCTTTTAAGATATTTAAAAAATGAATAAATACGTGTAATTATAGAAAATATTAAAGAAATTTTTAAGTAACACATAAATGTTAGCGACTACAATAGTGACGTATACACATACTGTTAGTGTATACATATAATTTTAGCTCTATTTTGAAATATTACTTACATTTGTATCCTAAAACAGTAAAGTAGTCACTGTACATTTTTGTACATATTATCAGAATGAAGCAAACATTTGTATGCAATTAATTTCTTATCTTTATCAATCAACATAATATGTAACGGTATCTTAATTTATGATGAATGAGATATGTAGTAATCTTATCAGTATTGCATTAATGAAAACGTAGTTTCCTCTGATATAAAAGCTACTTGCTCTGTAGCATTTACCTTCAAGAGAAATCAATAGGTTGTTTCAATTATGTGTATTGTATTTATTTATCGTAATCCTGATGCTGATTCTCAGTCCTATCGATTAATTGTGGCCTCGAATCGGGATGAACATTTTAAACGTCCTGCATTATTAGCTCACTATTGGGAAAATCATCCAGAATGTTTGGGAGGTATGTCAAATATGTTTAATATTAATTTGAAAAATTATCTATTAACAAATAATTAAATAAATATTAGTATACATATACTTAATTTATATTAACTACATATGTATTATAAAAATTATTAGAACTATAGTAATGTCCTTTCCATGTAATGTATACATAATATTAATTCATTTTATTTGAATTGAAATTGTTTATCTTATACTTAACATAAAAATAATTTCAATTTATCAGGTACAGATATGGAAGTTGGTAAAGAAGGTGGAACATGGTTCGCTCTATCGATAAAAGGAAAGGCTGGTGTGGTTTTAAATTTACCTAATGAAGAAGGTTTAATTAATAGTCCTAAAACGGGTCGAGGTTACTTAATATGCAATTTCATTATTTCAAATGATTCTGCAATTTCATATTTAAATAAGTTACACAAAGAAAATAAAAACAATCAACCATATAATTCATATGCTTTGATTTTGATTGATTTGCAGTAAGTAAATAATTTCCAAAGTCTTAAGAACTACTATAGTTTTTTCTGTTAGTAAATAAAATAGTGTTTTACTTTTATTTGTTTAGCAATGCAGATGTGCACTGTCTCAGTAGTTCTGTAAAATCACAAGGACCCTTTACAAGTCCAGACACATTGTTTGGTTTTAGTAATAGTAACTTTGATACTCCTCTCAAAAAGGTTGAAGAGGGGAAAAAAAAGTTCAGAAATATTGTTAACAATACTAAAGTGTCGAAGCAAGCAGAGCTTATTGAAGAATTGTTAAAGTTTCTGAAATCAGAAGAAAGGTAATTATTATTTCAAGAATTATGAACCATGCATTACCATCCATATAAGCCACATATTTCTTTATATTTTAAATAACCATAGATATTTACCGGATCCAGAGTTGCAACGACGGTGTCCAACAAAATATGAAGAACTTAGTTCAGTTTTTATAAGTGGCAAAGAATACTGTACAAGAACTCATTCTTTATTACTAATTAATGGGAACAATGAAATAACATTTGTTGAAGAAACGCTTATGCCAGATTTAACATGGAAAAGACAAATATTTAATAACAATTTAATATGTGACAATAAGTAAAAATAGTAAAAATGAAAAAAAATATATATTTTTTATATTAGTTATATCGTTAATTTCAAATATTTACATTGATATTAATATCGTACCAATAAAAAATACGTATATCTTATCAACACAACGAATACGTGTTTCGTAACGCTAACCGATGTTTTAATTGAGACTTTTTAATTTTCCACTTAAACTTACGATATGTCGTCTTCATTAGCAAGATCATCATTTGAATCACTTTCTAATATATCCGACGATACGTCGTTACTCACTTCATCAATATTATCAGAGCTTGGTAAAGTACTTTCTTCTGAAGATAAGTTCTGGAAATAACAGTAAAAGTATAAAAATATAATTCAAATAAACTAATGAAGGTTTACATATCAAAAAAATACCGAACCTGTGAGAGAATTTCTTGGCCTTCCAGATTTTTATTAATTAGATTCCCCATCCAAAAAGCGGCAGGACTATTATTAAGGACTAACATTCCTTTTACACTGTAAAGCAGCCTTTCGAGTACAGACTTAGCTGCAGGAACATATTTTGTTAATGTAAGATCTTTTTTTTCCGCACTATCACAGCATATTGTGTGTAAATATCTTGTACCTCCTAAAACATGAATATTTCTGTTCATATTTAAAAGATAGTATTTTATTTAACATATAATTTGATTACTAGCAGTTTGGTACACTTGATTTTGCTAATTCATATATACCTTGCATCATTTTCAGTATTTTAGTTACTTCCTCTATTTGATACTTCAAATTGTGTTCAAGAATTGGCATTCCAACATTTAAAAAATATTTCAATAGTATGGGCATATATTTCAAAAAAATTAATACATTATTTTTTGTAGTCAAAGTTTTGGATATTTGAACTAACTTTTGAACATTAGATGCAATTTCACCCCATAATTCTATCCTTGTAGAATCTCTGAAAAAAAATTCATGAAAAATACTTATTCTATGTAAAATAATTTTTTAAAAGTATTAAAGTAATTTAAATGAAACAAAATATATATACATATATACCTACTAGCCAATGGCAGTGCTATTTTCATACCATTGATCAGACCATCAAATATTTTCTTATAGAAGGAATGAAAATTACTCCTTTTTATAGAAGGAATTCGGCTTAAACAGTCTTGAGGTTTCTCCAACTTAGCAGTTTCATCTGGTAACCATTCCAAAACTGAAGTAATTGTCTTCAGTGGTAATGGTTCATTATCAATCCAACTGTTTAATAATCCAGTCACGGCCTTTTTGTATTGAGGAGTAAAATGTTTATCCTCTGGCCACTGAAGGCATAAAAATCCAAATGCCATTTTTGCTTAAAAAAAAAAAGAATAATTTAAATAAACATGAAATCAATACTCACTAAGTAATGAATTTTCTATAATATTCTTCACCATATTTTCCTTTGCTTTCCTTAGTATAAGACTCAGAATGTTTCATTAATGATTGACACATATTAATTAATGTAATAGCTAATGATATTTGCGTGGCAATGTCAGATAATGACTCAAAGTATTTGCATGATTCCGCAACAAGTCCTTTACAAGATCGTAATGCATCATTACTTTCATCTACCTGACTCGCTAAAGTCCGCAACCCCTCTGGCGGATGACAGAAAAGACAAAGTTGTTAAACTAACAAAAATTTGCACGACTGTCATATTGCCTCTTTGGTTATTGTAGTTTCAGAAGAGTATCACGACAGACAATTATCACAAAAAGTAGATGTTCTGAAGATACATATTTTTTCAGAAACAATCATTTATTTTACCTCGAATTAGTTCTGGCGATAATATCCACGCCACTTTTTTTTTTCAATTTTTTGCAACTGTTGTAGATTGCTCACTACCGTTGTATTTGAATGACATAGTTGGACCAAGCGCAGATGACAGTTCTCTTATACATGCCTAAGTAATAAATACGAGAATATTTTTCCCTCTTTCTTTTTCTCTTTGTATTAAAGGCTTCCAATTAAAAATTATTTTCTCCATTTCTATCTAATAACTCCTCCTTCAAATATCATCTGCGTTTGGCCAGTCTATATACTCCGTGGCTTAACTTAATTTGGATCTTTCTATGCTCACAATAAAAATCTGCGACCACAAAAAATCTAACACAAAAGGTAGAGTAAATATGATCAAATTTTATAATTTTTGCTGTTAATGCTTCATTACTGATTAATTATTATTGCAATGATTGATTAGAAGACCTAGGTTCACTTGATTCTAAAACTTCTAAATTCGTTCTAAACACAATGGGAATAATGATATGGTGTTACTATCGAAAAATGAACTGCAGTAACGAAAGAGGCACTGCTGTATTATACAATTATATAGTAATAACCTCGTAATAACATATTATAAGTAACACTTTCAAATCCTTTCCAATTAAAAATTTTCGTCAAAAGAGATAACAATAATTTAGCAGCTTTGTTATTTTGATTCTCACTTCCCTCTCTCAAAGTATCCACAATATCTTGTAACTTTGAACAAATCTTGGGTAGTACTTCAATTAAATCTTTTACAAAAATTTCATTATTTTCATATTCAAACATCCCCAGAAGTTCTTTAACAATAAAACATACTTGTTTTACAGATATGTTATGCTTTGTAGGCTGTGTTTTATTTAATTCCATTTTTATATCAAGAAGATGAACTACCTGCAATGATAACTACAATTATTACAGAAATGTAATCTTAACCATAATATTTTATCTTAAATAAAATCAGAACATATTTATACCTTTGCATCCAATTTTCTAAAATACATTGGGTTTTTAGAACATATTAGGGAACCGAATTCCCAGTTTTCATCTTCGCTAAAGCTAATCGATTTTTCTGCAGCTCTTTTCTTTCCCTTTTTACCTTTTTCTGCAATTTTCTTTTCGATTCTTATAAAAGATGGTACCGGAAAATAGTGAAAGTAACATGGAGCCGGTTGATATTTGGTATCACATAAAGAAAACAATATGCTTAATTCTCTTTGCAAATGAATTAAATTGTCAAGTCGTTGTAATATTTGTTTTTGTAACAAAGAATCTTTTTGTGTGACAAAACCACTAATTACTTCTCGAAACCTGAAATTTATTATTTTTTTGACATTATTATTGTTATAGTTGTACTCCTTAATATAAATGTTCCACTCACCAGTTAATACAACATATTATTAAATCTATTATTGAATTTTCTGCTATGTCAAAATTTTCTGGCATTAATATTGCACAGCCTAGAAGAGAGTCTATAGCGTCTAAATCTCCATTTTCGCTAAGTCTTATACAACATGTTCTGAGAAGTTTGAACGTAATTGCTACAATTGCGCCATACTTTTTGTTTTCAAACGTGATAACACTGTTTTGAGGTTCATCTTCTGTTTTGTTTAATCCAAACTTGGGAATTAATTCTCCGCTGAATAATATGTTAAGTATTATAACATATAAATACGTAATTGCGTTAAAGAGAATAAAGAATTCAGTAATATTGTATACCTGTAATTGTCTTTATCAGTCATGTTTGCATTGACAAATTCTTCCTCGATGTAACTTGTCAAATTTTGTATGAAGTCTGCATCAATTTCTTGAGCCTGGTAAATAATACGTGTTAACTGATCATAAAATAGGGCTTTCGACCTCGGACAATTCTTCACATTGTTCAGTACAGTTTCTATGAAAGCAGAATGTAATTTACTTAATTTAATATTCACATAACACCTACGCATTAATTTTTTAAATTATTTTATGCATATTAAAATATTAAATGCTTTACAATGCATACTAAATAAATTATATGCGGCATTAGAAGTTTCAGCTGTTTTCATTAAATGTTTTATTGCCATAACTGCTGCTAGAACACCTTTACATTTTGTTCTGAAATTTAAAAATAAAAATATGTTTAAGAACTACATTTATAAAATTACACTTAATTTAACTGTAATTGATGAATACATACTGCGGATTAAAACTAGATAACTGCTTTTGTAACAGTATGAATAAATCATCTCGTAGAGAATCAGATGTAGAGCTGGAGTTCACACATAAATTTTGTAATAAATCATTCAATGTTCCAACTTCTTCTAAACCCAAGTTATCTAACTTTTCCAGTAAAATACGAAGATGATTACAATGGGGCGCTAAACATTGTCTCTCTTCTTCTGTCATTACCATTTTACAGAGAAATGCCAAAGCATTCTTTACTGTCTGATCACTGTCACCCATAAGGAATATAATTCTTTCTAATATTTCACGTTGCTTGAACACATTATCCCTGTAACATCTAAACTGTAGCCGTAACCATTCAATAGCAAAGTCAATAAAGACACGTTCATCTGTTTTCAGTAAATTACTTGTCAATTGCAACACTGTTGATTGTAATTCTTGTACAACCTAAAATAAATAGTTTTTATTATTTAAATTAAAGTAATAATTCATATCCATTTTAAATTTGTGGTACACAAACCTGTTTGTAATCATTATATAATAAATTTAATAAACTTGCTCTGTAAAAACCAGATCGTATATGTTGTTTAAATATAATTTCAACATTCTTCTTTTTTGTCTTTGTTGTTAAAAATATAAGAAGTAACATAATGATATCTAATGATTTTGGATCTTTGGAAATATCTTTTATAAACAGAAGTGCAGTATTCACTGTATTTTTTGAAAGAAGTATGTTCATTTTCAAAGTATTGATTATACTTAATTGATTTTGGTAACACTCTTCAACTTTTTCTCCAGCAAGAGGCTGTATGTCAGTATTGCGTAACACAGTTAATGTTTTTTTAAAGATTTCCGTATCCGAACAATCTTCTAAAACAAATCTATACAAGAATTAATACATATTATTAAAAAGATAAATAAAAAATTACATATATTCACAACATATTACTCAAATAAATAAACATACTTTACAACAGCTGGTATAGCATTTAGGTTTATATTTGATTTTAATAAATTTAATATTTTATTTTTGTATTCATCCAAATATTTTTTCGTAAGGTTCAAATTACTTATACAATTTAATATTAAAGTTATCAATTCTGTATTCTCATCTAATACTTTATCCAAAATTTCTGCAACAGTTTGATGCTGTTTATCAATCACAATATCAGGTAGATATAAGATCAATTCACTTTGGAACCACATAGGACAAGTTTCCAAAAGCTGCTCTAAATTTCTGGTTAAAACATCAGAAGTAGTTACAACATCCAAGAAACGAAACTGTTGCAACAATGACAGAGCCCACGGTACTGTCTCAATAGAATCACTGTAACAAAACATATAATGGAATTATTAAAAAAATATTCTAAACATTATAAGAAGTATTTTATTCAAAAAGTGAATTATGTAAAGCATACTTACGCCATAAGTATAGACTCGTTAAGTTTGATCAAAAGGCTACTATATATTTCTGGATGTAACTCTGATATTTGCAGTAAAATTTTTATCAGAGAAGAACTATGCAATACATTCGATACTGTATTATTAATAAATATTTCCATATCAGACAAAGCATTTTCAAGATTCTGTTCATTTTCAAAATACTTTTCCATTAAACTAATTAATTCTTCTTTTTTATACTTCTTTGAAGTTAATAATGTTTTCATTTTCTGTTGAACTATTATAATATCATTACCTGCAACAATTCAATAAAGTATTTCAATGGTTATCGGTACTACGTTTAAACAAATATTTACATTTTATGTTAAAATACCACATAGTTTACAATTCATATATTTAATTATTACTTACAAAGCATGTGTGGAGCATCTGTGTTTAACTTAATGCCAGATTCTATTAAGAATTCCACAAATTTACAGTGCACAGTAGAAACTGTATTAAAATTTGTCTTTGATGTAACTGATGAATTGAGTAAAGCATTTTTACGATAAATATTTTTGGACCTATCTTCCGTTATATTTGGGTCCTCCCGTCTCTTTTTTATAACTGTAGATTCAGCCAAACCTTGACCTATGAATATTTTTATGTTCAATAATTTTGCCTTTATTACAAAGTATTTCCTTATAACTTACATTGACTTGAAAACGAATTACTGCTTAACAATGTATTTCTGTTAACTAATGTCTCTTCATGCAATGATTTAGTATCAGAACTTCCACTATCTGATAATACCTGACTTCTTATTATGTTCTTATGCAAACCACCTCTAAATTTAAATTTTCTTTTATCCATAATTAATTGACAGTAAGTATTCTCTCAGACGATTACAAACATTCCAAAGAATCAAGCAAAGAATGCTTTTTCGCGCGCGAGATCAGGACAAACTGGGACAAACTGCACAATTTGTAAAGACAGTCTACTCGGTCTACTCATATTATAGACCTAGAGGTCATATCTAGGGACGAATCGATGCAAGTAAATACGAGTACACCCGCGAACAAACTCGGCTTCCGCTAGGAGAAAAAGTGGCATAGCAGTAAAGTCTCCCAGCACTTACTAAATTTATTTCAAGTACAGAAATAAATGTTAAAGCGAATATTAATTTGGCATAAATTTCAGTAACTTCCAAAACTAAATGGTAGGAGGCCTTTCGCCAACCTCACATTTTCCCCTAGCGAAGCCAAGTTTGCCCGCGAGGGTATGTACAAGTTTCGAGCAAATTGCCAGCAATAAATGACAAAAGTTGTCTAAAAAAACCATAATCATTTGTTTCCGCAGTTGACTTGGGTTTTGCAGGCAATGCCAGCTGACAAAATAGTGAAGCAAATTTGCAGAAAATTTTACAACATGACCTATGTCAAATTGAGAGCAAAACCGGAACAAGGTTTGCGCAAGCCAATTTGCTGTATATATTGCTGTCAAATTGCTGCCTAAGTGGCTGCCAATGTGCGTGCAAAGTGTTTTTAGCAAATCCTGCATAAAACTTATAGCCATAACTATATAACAGGCATTGGACAAAATTTGGCTTTGCAGGTTTGGTTGACTGGGTAACGAAAATATTAGTAAAAGTAATTTGTGTAAATGTATTTATGGGTTAAATACAAATACACGCAAAATATTTTCTATACACTGTGACATGCTGTATAATTTTCACATAGCAAAACTTCAAAACATTCTGCGATACGAATACTTCCGTAACATACTTGTATATCCTCGTACCTCGTATGGACTTACGTGTACGATCACCTTTGGATGCAAATAAGTCTGCTGTTTATAAAAATTCTGTAATGTAACCGTAATTAATACAATTAAAAATACTGACCATTAGATGGTGAAATATTTAATGGTACTACATTTATTGGTAAAAGAGAAAAAGAAAAAGGATTGTACGCATGCATACACGAGAGGGAATGCATAAGAGATTGCGAACAGAGAAGTGAGAAAAAGGTGATGTATCAGAGGGAGTGAGAAGCAAACGTAATTCACGCCGCCACCGCGAGGTGTCAGCATCGCGTGCGGCTCGCTCGCTAGCGGCCACCATTGTTGAAATTCTGCTTTGGTTGATGCCCCGACGATTTTTTGGCCGAAAATCGTAAACTCGCCAGCCCCTGGCAAGGGCCCTGTGCGGAAGGTGCGTATTCCGTGATAAATCCGTGACAATGCTAGTACTGTAACGGCCGTTGGTGAGATGTTTTGCGATCGAGGGCCCATCTGGAAAACTCAGTGAAATCGAGTGTGCCCATCGATTTACGCGAAAGAAAGAGGCACCCATGTCCGTGTCGCACATCTTGTCGGGGTGTTGGTGTTGTGTGCGCTGGCTGGATTGTGCATGGACATACGTGCGTGCATGCGTGCCGGTACGATGGAACGCGTTTACTTCGCGCAACCCACAATCTGTCGATTCTCAATTTCATCGAGTGAAGTGAAATCTTTAATCGCTCGAATGTGTCGAGAATGCAATATTTAGGCGTCTGTCGGGGATTCCGCGTTTAACTCGTGATTTTTTTAATAGGTTCTGGTTGTTCCGCGTGTCTCGCACGCGACTCGCGCGTTATCACTGATACTATTTAGGTGTAAGGGACCACATCCCTGTTTCTCTCACTCGTCTTGCTGTGTGCATGCGTACGTACTTGCTTGCGTACGTGCGTACGCTGTTACTGTGTGTGTGTGTGTGTGTGTGTGTGTGCGTGCGTGCAGTTTTGCGGGGTTGGGATGCTTCTTTCCCCGCGTTGCACGTTGTGCGTGCATAGGCGTGTGCACGCGCAGCACACGTCACCCTTCTGTGTATTGGTACGCGCGACATTGTGTATTTTCCACGAGTGTACACGCGTTTGTTGGTCAATGCAATGTGTTTCTCGTAGTGTATACGCGTGTTGTTTCCCGTGCGGCACGTCTACGCACAACTGCATGGCCATTGGAGTTCACATAAAAGCACGCGACTCTGTCCCGCTGTGAGCCTGTTTGATCAGAAAATTGAGGTACACGGTGTCACACCAGAGATGGGCGCATACGAATCGTTTTTTAATTGAAATGTGTATAAAGTACTAATTACTCTTATTAAATGTACGGATAAATGAACGAATAACCTAGCACTTTGTATTCTGTGATGATCAAATACTCAAGTTCACTATTATGTATTTAATAATTTTGTGGACTGTTAAATATTATTTTGAAATCAAGTAAAGGAATGTGTAGATTCGTTATTATTTTTTAACGAAAGTTACTCTTTATTTTCATCCTTTCTCAGTATAATAAACTGATGAGAAACAACAATATTTGTACTTGAATAAAATTTATTCTATGCTAAAATTATTTATTCTACTAAAGCTAATAGCTAAATTAAAGCTTTAGTATATTGTTTGTACAAAATCTTTGTTACAGTAAACAACTTAATAGATGATACCTTCTTAAGTCTCCATTGAACTATGTAATTTCATGTATAATGGTTTACCTTGGTCTTTTTTTATACTACATTGTGTACTTAGTGTTTACATTTTCTTATTGAATAGGTGTATTGAAAAGAACACATGCGTTACAGTTTCTACTTTTACTTTTTAAATAAATTATAATTTGATGAAATGCATTGTTTAAACTGTATATTAAGTAAACTATATTTGGATAAACTTATTAGTGTTGCACATTGTGTCGACGTTAAACAAAATTCATGTTTATAATTTAATTTTTCTAGAGATTTGATTAATTCATCAGCTTATGATAACTAATTTAAACTGGAAGTTATTTATCAGTTTTTATAAAAAGAATAGTTGTTTCTTGAAGCAAGTTGTACATTCTAAAGTACATTTAGAAAGCAAGAATCATTGGTATCCTAGCAAACTTAGCCACTATTATCTATGTCCATAAAAAAAATATTTATCTTCCAAAGACAAATTACTCAGTTGTATAAAAGTATTATACAAAGCACTGGTGTATTCAATCTATAGTAGAACTGAATATGAGTTTCTAAGAAATCATAAATGTTAACATTACATTTGATATTATTTGAGATTAAAGCAAAAACATATTCTGTAACTATATATATTAACTATACACAAGATTACAAATTGGTAAGCTATCCATCATTTGATTACTTTTTGAAAAAAAATTTTGCCCATCCTTGTGTCACACTTGTATACTCATCATTCTTTTCATAGGTAACATAGCCTACAAATAAATTAATAGAATTTGCTCTCCGTACTATTCTAATAGATCCTTTGAAATTTCATATGTTTAATCAACAATTTATTGTTATAGTTTAATGTTGCAGTTTTTTTATTGCTCTTAATAAAAAAAACATCATGTATCCAAACTGTTCAAGCCTTTTTACATATTTTTTGCAATAATTTCAGCAACTGGAAATACTCATGATTGTATTTTACAAGGAGGAACAATTGAAACTTCCAATTTACATACTCTAGCAAATAATCATCAATTTAATAAGAATACACAGAATATTAACAAACAAAGAGTAAATGATCTATATCTGCATTATGGTGTAATTTGTCAAAATACATGGGCTGTTCCCAGCAATGGTAAACATAATGTTTACCATCTGTGTTGCTTATAAATCATTATGAAAAACAAAATTATATAATTTGAAATAAAAATTTAAGTTCTCGTATATGTTTCATTTTCTAAGCCAGAAATCTTCACTTTATTCAATTGTCCAATGAGATGCTATAAATTGTAATGTGTGAAACAAGTAAACTATAATTGCTATGTATAATTATACACTTGTTACTTAAAATTTTCATTTACAGGGCCATTCATACTTGGAGACGCGCCAAAATGGGCGCTATCAAATAATTTCATGCAGTGGAATTATATGCAAGAGTTGGTAGCACATGGTGGTGTACCGGATACATACAATTTATGTCATAAGGAAGAAAATACAGGTGTGTTAGATTTGAACTCCACGTATGTTAATCAATTCATAAACTTTTTACAACCAACGAACAGCAAGATAGTAAATTCTGATACACACAAGAAGGAGTTTGATAAATGCTTGTCAGAATTTTCAAACCAAGTGTTTACAAACTACAAGGAAAGTTATAGTACCCGTCGAAGAGACGATGGAAAAGTAAAATCAATTAATTTACACCATACCGAGGAGACTACAGGGATCCATAGATCTTGCAAACACGATAGTGAAAATTCATCCGAAACGGAAAAACAAATTTATGATCTTGATAAAAGTATCAGTCGTCTTTGTTATTTGTCAGACCATCTAAATCTTACACAAAATATAGCACAGTACGAGACTTTATCTGACATTTTGGAACAGTATAAAAATACTTATAACTTGTCTTATGTTTCTGAAGAAAACAAACCGCTTAATTTAATAAAAAACTTGGGAAACAATAAAGACTGTTCTAACAGACAAAGCAAAGGTAAAAAACAGTTGTGCAAATATTCAGACACAGATACAACATTAAAGGACTGTGCCATTTCAAATCGAACAAATCATTCCTGTAACGTAGAAAACTGTTATTATAAAAAGTACAAGGAAATAGACTATGGTTTATTAAAATTTTCAGATTTAGAAAATTTATCTCATAACCCAAGAATTGAAAAAACGTTACTTAAGATGATTCTTTTATTTTTAAGAAAAACTTGAATGGTAAATCTTCATTGTTTTTATATGAGAAGACAAGTCCAGATACTTCCTTTACGCATTTGTCATTGAATGTTAAAAATATAGATCTTAAAACTGAATCTTCTATAATAGAACATACAAATAAGTCAAAGTACACTTATTTTGCAACTGATTGCAACCCAATCTTAAGTAATTGGGAGGATTTCGAAATGTCAGGACAGTATCCAGGTCATAGCCGACCTCCGGTTGGCACACCTCCACCACAGACAGTCTGGAATCATCTTACAATGACGCAAGGTCAAGGTAATATTATATGAATTGTTTACACCACATTATCGTTAATTGGTAGGGATTGTATGTTGTTTTTTAAAAATATTAATTTCAATTTTTAATAGTTTCAGGCTTAAATATTCACCCAACAGCTTTGTCTGGTGCAGCATTAAGTCCAGCTGGATTTTATACGCATCCATCTATGGCGAGGGCATCTCATATAACATCGCAGCTTACACCTCAGCTTGCACATACTCAAGCACCTCCAACATGGCATACACCAACCGTTCCATCAAAAAGTGTTACTCCAGCCAATCCAGGAAATCCATTGTTTAGTTTACAAATGCTAGTAGATAATAGGCAGAATCAAAGTCAGTATAGAAGCTCGCCAGGTTCACAGAATACGTTAGACCTGTCTTCTACATCTGACATTATCCCTGAAAATTATTCTCGAATACCTCAGGATATTCCAATAAGTTTGACTGCAAGAAATGTAGATAAAAGTAGTAGAAATGGAAATATTATTTCTCCCCCGATACCTTTAAACGGAGAAACGTCGTCAGATAGTGGAATTAGCTCATCAGTTCCGACACCGAATTCTGTCAGTGAACCAGTTTCACTTTCAACAAAAGAAGTTATAACACCTAAAATTACAGTAAAAAACTTTGAAAGCAATTTAAAAGGTGTGGCAAACCTCCACGATAAAATTAAGGAAATGAGTGTAGATAATTTTACGCAAAAAGTGATAAATTTACCACCTAGTGTAACAATTGAAAGGGTAGTTCCAGAGAAAAAAGAATCTGAAGTTACAAAAAGTAATAAAGATACGTTAAGTGTTATTACGCAAGTGCCAAGAAATGTTCTACCTGTTATTGTAAATCTTACCTCTAAAGGCGACAAAGATGTAACAGACAGCCCAAAACGAGAATCGTCATTAGAACGAGATCGAAAAGTTGAAGAAATAAATGTAAGATCACCAAAAAATTTACCAAAAAGAGGTAAAAAGGGTGTCGATTCTCTGTTAGAGAAATTAGAAGGTGGAAATAAAAAGCTTGGTAGTGCCGAGAACATTGGATCTGTTATTGTAATGCCGGTAGAAGAAAAGGATACATCTAGTGTGAAAAGTATGTCTCCTGACAGACAAAAATCCAAATCTCCAAACAGAGAGGATGAAGTAGTATCTCCAGCATTCAGTAATGACGATTCCAACGATAATACGAAACAGCGCAGGAAAAGAAAATTGGAGAAACCTGTACGACTTAGTAAAGATTCCAAAACAGAAGTGGAGGACATGGAATTGGAGCCTACAGAACCGTCTGAACCTAGAGCAGGTGAATCAATATCAGGAGAAACAACAAGTGCAACACCAGTTGTAAAAGTTGAAGATAACGTTGACACAGCGGAACAAAGAATACCTGACAAAGTAGAAGAAAGTGTAGAAGAGAAAACCGAAGAAAATCAACCGATTAGAAGGCGAAGGAGCAGTGAAAGTACACCCCCTAGTTCAACTCCATCAAATCAGAGGGTCCGGAGAAAATCTAGTGACGACGCCACTGAGTTTTCAAAAGTAACGAGTCCAAAAGGTGTAAATAATACAAATCCGTTTAATGAAGTTGAATCAGAACTAGAAAAAATGTTTGCTGGTATCGTTGAGCCAGAGACAGATGTTAAAAAGGAAGAATCAAAAACGGAACTTATGGAACCCGAGGATCAAGCCGGTAGTACAACGAAATCGGAAAATTTAGAAAATAGTATTCTGCATACACAAAGTTTAAACCCTACTGACCTTTCATCTACAATTGATGCAAAATTGTCTGGGAAAAAGGGAAAGAAAACTAAAGTACAAGGAGGCAAACGGAAAATGTCAAGATCTTCTGAAAATATTTTCGGAACTATAGGTAGTGACGTACCTCAAAAGGAAATCAAAAAAAGGAAATTGTCCAAAAGTTCAAAAAAACAAAATGTATCAAAGAAAACAAAGAAAACTACAAAAATAGACGGATTGAGGGAAATGGCGTATGACTCTGGGTCGAATGCAAGTTCTATCAGATCTCGTGGACCAGTAGTTCATGTTGAAGGTCCAAGAGACAGTCCACTAAGCATTCAGGTAGTTATAGTGCAGGGAGAAGTAAGAGACTTAGTCATCAAAACGATTTAGACTATAGGGGTATGTATTTTTATTTTTTCAAATGTTTGTACACATATATGTATATTATATATACACATATAATAATTTGTCCAACAAGTAGGTATTATTGAAAATTTTAAGTATTTCTTTTATTCAGGTAAAGTCAGTAGAGCAGGTCTCTTTAGTTCAACATTATCATCCCGTTATGATGCACATACGACAGATTCTACATGGGTTTGCGTATTTTGTAAACAAGGTCCTCATTCTATTATACCTGGGGACCCTTCTCGACCACATCCTAATCTGGCTGGCCCTCACATAGCACCTGGAACTTATACTGTACGTTGTATTTTGTACAATAGAATCTGTGTGTAATAGCGTTTTAAGTTTATGAACATGTTTAAGTAGGAATACCATTGATCAACAGTGTTATCATGTTATTTCTTATACAGGTTCCAGCAGGAGTTTTAAGTGATTTATTTGGTCCGTATTTAATTGGTAAAGAGCGCCTGGAAGATGGAATTCTTTCAGCGGACGAACAGGAGATTACTACAGAACAAAAGAAGGGTGGCAAGAATAAGAGAAGTTTGAGATATGCTGGTCTGGCTGATCAATTTACTGCAAAAATGGGGAAGAAGAAACGAAATTCTGTTGAAACTAATACTAATTCCATTTTTACGGGAATGACTGTACTTCCAGGAGAAGAACAACGTTGGGAGGTTTGGCTTCATGAACAGTGTGCCGTTTGGGCAGCTGGAGTATACATGGCAGGTATAATAAATATCTTTTATATGGATAACTGTTATGTTACGCTACTGCACACAGCACTACCGCAATGTATATCGTCTTTTCTGTCAACATAACCGGCTTTTCAGTTCTTCTTGTTATTAGGTTACGTATTTTCTGTGTCTATAGGCTGCAGAATTCCATAAAATTAAATAAAAACTTAATTTCTTTTTTCGTTTATGTTGAATTTACGTAAACATCGGCACTAGATATCTGCATTAACATATATATCATATTGTACATTATATTATGCAATAAAGCTATTTTCTTCTTAGACTGCGAATTTTATATGGTTATACAAGATAGTTCTAAACTCTATACAACAAAAAGATTAATACGAAGTTTTTATTTAATCTGGAACTTACTAAAATTTAAAATAAATAAACTTGTCTGATTCCAGTTCTAATAAATTGGTCTATACAAATTTATATCTGCATAAACATTTAGAGTTTAATTACTGTTATTGTTATAACTGTTACAAACCAGTTTCAACGGAACTGTATGGTATATTCTTACAATGTATTAAAAGAAATTATTTTCTAATTTAGGGGGCCGAGTAACAGGATTACAAGAAGCAGTATGGGATGCAGCAAAGTCGATATGTGACTCTTGTGGTTTAACAGGTGCAAATATCGGTTGCGTTAAACGGGGTTGTAAAGCTGTTACACATTATCCTTGTGCGCTAACAAAAGGCTGGCATTTGGATACTAATCAGTATATACCGAAGTGCAACCTCCATCGAGTTACGTGAAATTTCGGTAAGTTTTCAGATACAATATGGAAATATAGCTAGTCGTGAAATATAGCTTTAGAGTGAATTATCAAATAAAAAGTATTATGTATAAGCTGCTGCATTTAAATTTGTGAAATAAGCAAAGAGAACATTGATTAGTCATTTACAATATATTCATGTGGTGGAGCACAGAATTTTTGCCAGAGGATTGTTTCCATGAAGTCTAACAATTGATTTATATTTTTCAGCATTTAACAATTTTGAGATGTTTTAAAATTACGCTTTGCGTCATTTGATGCGTAAGTGTATTTGAAGTGTGAAAGTATAAATATCATGACAGATATATGGCAATTTGCACACAAAAGATATCAATATGCTCGACAGAAATACCTTCCAATGTACAAGATGTTCCAATAACAAGAATACTGTTGTTGTCTTTGAGAATTACAAGCGAAAACGAAAAATTAACGGAAGCGAAGAAATGGAATGGAAGTTCTCGTTAATTAAATTTAATTAATTTTCTTGGCCTGTGGCCTTGAACGGTGGCCTTTTCGACCTAATGTAAAAGCAAGATTTTTAATTTAAAATCTGTAGTATAGACGAATCGTTGCTGAGGAATAATATTAATCAAAAAGTATTTGCTTTTTTACTCATACTTAATAAACTTTGAAACGTTTTGAAAATTTTCCCCTAAAACATCATGTACGCAGGAATAAAATATAGGGCATATTGTACCAAAATTTGAAGAAAAGTCAGAATTCGGCTAAAGTTTGAAAATCATAGTGTTCCAGCAAAAAATCGTATGTGTGTGTATATATAAAATGAAATGGATAATCAATGAATATAAATCGGTGGAATTTGAACGTTTATGATAATTTCCATAAAAAGTGCGGACGAGACATATGGACAAGTGTTCTCCTTGTGAATCTAAAAAATCATCTGTAAATAACAAAGTTCTTATGTGAGAAAATGACTATTATATTATTATACAATTCCAATGATACTACAAGACATTCTTCCGTTTCTAAAAATCATGCTATTTTAGTAAGCATGTGTAGTTATGTTCTTTCTCGCGCGAAAATACATTTAGTGTAATAATACTTATTTCTATTATAATTTTTTGAAGATTATGTGACAAATAAATCTCGTATAGATGTAAATAAATAGATTTTCGCTCATGTAATATTTTTCTTCCTTTCTTGACCTCGTCTTTTATAAATACGTATTGCAACTTTTTGCATACCTAAACAGAACGAGCTCACATGTTTACTCAAACAGAACACTTGAAATAATATAATAATAATAATAACAATGTCGTTATAATTATTATTGTTATTATCACATTACATTGTATAAACTTCAAACAGAAAACATAAATTTGTTTTATAATTAATAACAACTACTTCTTGACGTGTGCAGATTATAATTTCATTATTTTTCATAATTTATGAATGCGAAACCGGTGATTTAGATTTAGTAGTATGCATACGATTTAGTGAATCAATTTATTCGCTACTTGTTTTTGCCCTAGCTGATATTGATTTATATTATTTTTGCATAATATTATTGTATTGAACTGTACCATTATTACACTGTCAATGTCATTTTCATCACATTTTGTAAGAATGAAACAGAGACACGGTTTTATAATAGAAATAAAAAACGATACTAATATTGATTCCCTTGATGGACCTGGGAAGATCTATAAAAATCAGAAAAATTGTATAAAAATATATAAAACAAAATGTATATAATAACTGGAGTAGATAAAAGATATAATTATGTATTGATATATATATATGCAAAAAAATAGTTGCAACTGCTCCTAAAACACAGAGTACAGTACAGTAAAAATAATCATTTTAATATTAGTTATAAAGATAATAAAAATTAAATTGTCGAAATAATTCTTTGTATATATTATACATAAATAATATATGTATATATATAGTATTATACTATGCATATATATATAGTAAGAAGCTTCCTGTAAAAAATTGAAAGAGCGTGAAAAAGCATTTTATTTAGCAACATAGTATGAATGTTTTAATATAAGGTAACAAATAGTTTACCTAAATGTAAACATAATTTGAGTTTTCCTTAACCCGGAAGTAGGCGAGTTATAGTCGAAAAGCCGGTGTTGTCTTTTAAAACTTGTGGGGGTGCACAAAGCATCACCTCAATCATCCCGCGACGTAAATAAATCAGATTACACCTTTAATGAGAATAGCTTCGCGGAAAGTAGGAACAGTGGAAGGCTTTGGATCAGTTTTCAAAACAGAAAATCGTCTGTCGAAAGGACTACTGCGCGCCTACTCCCGGGTTAAACTCGTAGAGACAGAGTTCATGAATCTTAAGCAAAGGGCGTTCTCTGTAATAAAGAAACGAGTACAGTAAAATATACTGCACAGATGTAATAAGAGAAATGAAATTGTAAACGAAACGCTTATATATGATGTATGAAAGGGAAACAAAATTCTATTTCAGATGAATAATTGTAATATTAATATTTGTGATACAAACAATTTCTGGACAGAGTAACTCTAGTATGTTATGTTACATTTTAACTTTGCGCACATGGAGCATTCTTTAAATCCTCTGTACAGTTTAATTTTGTAGTAACACATTTTAGTATTGTATACATATTTAGTCCATGTATGGAAAATGTAAGTTAAGGTACATACAAAAATTTTTGAGATTTTAGAATCCTCCTTGTACGCATAGTTCAATAATATTTAATGAATTTTGAAAGTGATGTGGGAAGATGTATAACGACCTGTCTTGTATAAATACTAAGCACTTTTAGCCTGTAAATTGCTAAAAAATTAATTTAATGTATTGAAATAATGAAGCGCAAAGAAACTTGAATATCACAATGCCTAAGTAATTTGTATGAAACATAGGTCTGTAAAATAAAATTGTCGCATCGTGATATGTAGTAAGAGATAGAAGGGCGAGAGAACAGAGAGTGAGAGGCGGGGGGAGGGCCGAAGGAGAAAGAAGTATTGTCTTTCTGTTCAGCCATTTTCATTCGCTTCCTTAAAATCCTTTGAAGTTGTTCATACATGTACACATTTGTGTGACTTGATTTATTGACACCAATTGTTTAAAAAAGTATCATTTCTTCTGTATTTACATACACAAAATGGAAAAAAATCACAGAATGTATTTAAGATTGACGCAATGATACAGCTAAGTATACATCTTTGTGTAATATAAATATAATGAGTAATAAAACATAATGTCATAAGTCGCAGTAACAGACAGTTTCGACATAGCCCTTTAAATGTCATGTAAATGTACAAACTTCTTCAAATTATAGCTTTTACAAACTTTTTAAAAGGTAAATGAGTTGGCATAATTTTATACCAGCTCTGATTTAATTAATCAAAAATGGGAAAGTTATGTACAAAAAATACGTAAACCTCGATTGTACGATAAACATTTTTATATATGTTAACAGACAGATAGCATTATTTTACTTGATATCTAATTTTTTTGTTACAAAGCGTAATGAAATGAATTTTTGTAAATATATTTAAATACAGTTCATGCAAAACAACGTACTTTTATACTGTATTGGTACCAATAAGTAACATTTTTTAAGTATTGCACCTATATGTATTTTTCGGTTTCGTAACTAGCCAAGTAATCAGACCTTCAACTTATTAAGTATTCAAGTAAACTTAACAGTCTTTTTCAAAAATACACAAATGTACTTAAAAGTGAAGTAATTCAGTAGAACAGTAATTTAAAGTTAAATAACTTAAGTAATTATGCAAAATGTAAACACATTTCCATTTTCACTTTCTTCTTTATATTTTCTTTCGGTATTCCAATTCTCAAAGTTATTGTGGCTCGTAAACAGTATTATTGTTTTAATAAAAATAAAAATCTTAAAGCACATGTTGCACATTCTCCATTTATTTTGTCTGGAAAAATGAAATACTTTTTATATACTTGCTCGAGAATGGTCATTAGAATTTGCAAATATAATACACACTAATAAATTTATATGTTAACATTCCTCAGTTTCATTTATGTAAATATATTTCTCAATTAATGTAATTAATCTATAATGGCAATTAAATCAATACACATAATAGCAGATTACTAATACAGAAAATAGTATATTTAATTTTATTTTATAATGTATAATTCAAAATATTTAATTAGATCACCTTAATAATAGTGAATGTGAAATATAATCAGACAATTGTAGCAAAATATGGTAGAAGAAAATACATATGCATATATTCTATATTTTCAACGTAAAACTTATTAGTTTTTTGTAACTTATGAGCAGACTCCGAATACTTAAGCAAACTTACATTTTTATAGATTAAGTTTTCGAAAACAAGAAATTAGCAAAAGTTTTTATTTTCCAGAGAAAATTGTTATTTTTTTTGAAATTCATTATTTTATTAAAAATTTTATGGTCTTTATTTTATTGTCTCCTGTACATCCAAATATTCTATAAATGCATCAAATCCATACCCAGTTTACTTATGAAAAAGTAAGACAATTGATCAGGAATGTGGAATCATATGTCGCGCCCGACACGCCATCTTGAATTACAAAGAAAGGTGTGCAATCGTGCACTGCAATGTTGAGGCTCTTATCCCTAATGCATCAATGGTTTTAATCTTTTCATCACTGGACTGGTCGGTGAATGGGGAATGGAGATTGGAGAATGGGGAATGGGGAATGGGAAAGTCTTCCCACTTTCTACTAGATTGTTTCTCCAGTATGCCACCGACCGAGGTTGCGCGAGGATGTTTTTCTGAGTGGTTGAACGGTAGTTGAGTTTTCATGAAGTTTTGTGACTTTTTATATCGACATAGGAATTATGTCGATTCGAAATGGGTAATTTATCAACTGTAGTGAAGTTTAGTGCAGCACTCTTCTCCTGCTTTGTGGATTTTAGTTGGGCTGAGAACGAATTAAGAGGTAAAAAATGTCAGTTTACGTACATACATATGTCACATACCTACGTTATATTTTAGTATTCTGTACATATGTCAATTACACGTGGGTCGTTTAAGTTATTTGATCTTCGTGGTATTTATTACTTTTAGTGCTATTGCGTTGCTTCAAGTTTCTCATAACGTATTTTGTTGTCAGCATCATACACCGTGTATATATGTCATTTAAAAAAATTTAATTTACACTTCGTAACGTACAATAATGATACGAATAGTATTTACAACACATAATTCTGTTATAATAAGTATATTTAAAAGAATACAAAATATACCACGGTGAGAAATACATTATCGAAAAGCTCATTTTATGTACTATCAAAGGTTCTGTACAGATATACAAATTTTTCAAGTATATATAAACTAAAAATTTGTAAAATTACTTTAAAACGTGAATATTAAAATACTTTTAGTACCCATTGTATATCTTTTTGAATGATTGTTAAACTGCATTCTTAATGTTTTCAAAATATTATTTCACTGTCCTTAATCGCAAATTATAAAATACCATTAGTAAACAAAACTTGGCAGTATGTATTACCTTATGGTTTGTAGTGAGAAGTTTCAATTTTGACAACTTAATTTTGTACGGAAAAAGGATTCGTAAAGTGAGTTATGAAAAGAATATTATTCTGTCTCGATGTATCTGTCTTCTAGATAAGTGTAACATTAGTCTGACTAACCAGTTTACCACAAAGCTAATTGTTCGACAATGCTTGCGAGTTTGCAAGTGCATCATACGAGAAATCTTCCTTTGATATTAGCTGTGCATCCTTTCATGAGTCTTGTGTTAGTGATTTCTTGAGGCAATTGGCGTGGAATAATATTTCGTGGCAACATATTTGTTTACTGCAGTTCAAACGCTGTCGACGCATTAATAGACTTAAAAATCAAATATTATGTATTTTCTCACGAAGCATGCGCAATATTATATATATATTTAGTGTCAAAGTAAACAAAGTTATGAATCTTCAGTCTAGTGTCTAAAAATATATTAATATTGTACGGCTGAAACAAGGCCATACAATTTTTGTATATGTACCCTCGCGTGCAAACTCGGCTTCTGCTAGGGGAAATAGTGCCGTAGAAGAAAAGTCTTCCAGCACTTACTAATTTTATTTCAAGTACAGAAATAAATATTAAACCGAATATTAATTTGGCATAAATTTCAGTAACTCCCAAAACTAAATGGTAGGAGGTCTTTCAACAACCTCACATTTTCCCCTAGCAGAAGCCGAGTTTGCACGTCGGTGTACAACTATTTTTAACGTTCTATTATAGTTTCAAATCGGATTATTCTTACAATTGTATAATATACAATGAATTAAATTTATTATATAAATAATTACAATTCGAATCGCACGAATAATTGAGATGTTTTTACAACTTTTGCCAGTATTATAAATTAACATTTTTAAGAAAAGAAAGGGGCAGGTAAATGAAAATGAATGAACGAAAACGAAGTATGATTATCTTGTAAGAATATCAAATCTATATAATAATTCTTTAAAAAAAAGGTTATTTTTTTTATTGTATATTCATGCAACCTGAAGCTTGCACGAGTTAACGTATTCACCTGTAGGCTTGAAATTTTCGCAGGAATTGGAATTATTTTAAATTGAATACTTATTGTCAGTGCCTCCATACATTTTGGATACGATACCGTATTTTACATTTGTGCTGACGTTCAACCGATAATTGCCACAGCGATGACCGGGGGGGAGGGAGATATAAAGCTAAAGATCAGTACAAACACAAAACATAAGTTAAACAGTGTATCTTTAATCAAGTTATTATGCAGTAATGATTCACAAGATTCGAATTTTACATTCACAAAACGATGCCGTATAGTGTCTTTATGTGACAACTATTAATGGAATATAACTATTGAAAATAAAACCAAATATAACAAACATTCCTATAGTTTCAATTCATAACTCTGGGAACTTTTTTTTCACTGTACATTTATATTGATCGAAAGTATGTATCAAATGACATGCAAAAATATTAATTTTGAGTTTAGGAATTTATCCATTGAAAAGTTATTAAGCAAAAAAGACTTCGAAATTTTCACGTATGTTCTAACCTTTAATGTGACACATTCAACTCCTATCAATATTATAATGCTTTGAACAGTATTTTTTTTGTTTCTATATAGCTCTAACTAACTCAGATCAGTATAATGCTTTAAAAAGAAAAAACACAAAACAACACGGGTAATTAGCATTTATTATACAAACACAGACTTACACCTCAAATCAACTCAAACTACTATGATTACAAATTTGAATGTGAAAGATTAAGACTAGATCTACCAAGGGGGTTCAAAATAACTTGTTTGGCATTTCTTATAATCATTATTCATTTTCGGTATATTTTGTATGACTTTTTCTAAAATATGCAAATAACTAATTCTGTAAAACAGTTTTCTTTTTTTTTTGTCTTTTTGATGTAAAATTTTATGCAGTATACTTCCGTATACCGAGATGAGTCATTTTGACCCCCACAGAACGTAGGTAAACTTGTGATATTTGAAGTTTCTCATATTATTTTTGTATAGTTCAAATACATTTTTAGAAAACTAAGTATATTTTCGTACATCTACATTGTACAAAATTACCACAAGATACATGTGCATAGATAAGATACATCTCCATGTACACCATCACAAAACCAGACGCATATTGTACTAATAATAAAACGAAGAATATTTGTGGTAATGTCATAAACGAGTCTGTGGTACATGCTCAGCTAAAACAATTGTAACTTGTAAAAAATGTCTGACTTTTAAGCGTAATTATTTTGAAAATTATTGTTATTATATTATTATCATTATTCAGTTTATATTCAATTTTCATTCTTAAATTGAAATACAAGACTTATTAATTTGAAAAACAAGTCATTTTGACACCTCCGGTAGAAGTTGGTATACGTCAATCGCCGGTTGTTCCAGTGTTAACTCTACTGCTATTCCTCTCACAATCAATCATATTCAACAACCACCGTAACTCACAATAAAGATTTTCTGCAACTCTTTTTTTAAATGGAATTTTAACTCATCCTTGTTATTTATCGTCGTTTTACGTATTTTATGGTGCAATTCATCCCACAAATTTTCTATGGGATTAATGTCAGGCGATTGGGGAGGGGGTTGTAATCCTCATATTTGTGACACTTTTTTTAAAATTGTTTTTTAAAATGTTTCAAGTATTTGTTCTTATCGAGAATATCGTTTATAAACACGATCTCACCAACACCAAAACTGGATATACACCCCCACAACATTACCGATCTGGCGTCGTGCTTCAGTGTTGGTTACAAGTGTTTCGGATTATGTTCTTCTCTCTTTTTTCACCACACTCGGACCCTTCTATCACTGCCATAAATGTTAAATTTATTCTCATCCACAAAAATGATAGGAATTGAATATATCTTAGTCTCATTCTGAATCTAACGCAAAGTTTAAGGACCGTAGAATACATAAAACGACAATGAATAACAAAGAAGAGTTAAGAAAACCGTTTGAAAGAAGAATGACAAAAAAATCAGCACAGCTTATTTGTGCAAACTAATTCCTAACGTGCCAAATCGTTTAAGATACGTTATTAAACAAAAAAGGTACCCAACAAAATATGAAATGTTTATACGAAAGGTATTATTTTTATTTTATAACATAAACCAGTAAAGTGTCCAATTATTTTTTTGAGATAGAATTTTGCATTTTGTCTATATATAAGAATTTAATTGTTTTTATATTTATGGACTCTCTATACTCTATACTGTACTGTAACATGATGCCATACGTGTTTGCAGCTAATTTCAAAATTATTCAAAATATAGAGCTTAGAAGACAAAATTATACGGTGTCCCAATATTTTCGGTACCGTCTGTAGGTATACACACGCCTCATTCAGTTTGAGCGCTTGTTAGCGTCAACGTGTTTTGAATGAAGTCTAAGGCGAATGGCCTGTCGCTCATTGACTATTGGAAAACTTATGATATGGTTTATAGAATGCATGATGCTAAACAAACCTGGCGTCGAGTGGTGGCGGAAGACCACGCTGGGTCCTTCAGCTATCGGCGACATAGAGCGGGTATGTTAGCGTCGATTCTTTTATGAAAGCAGACGCACGTGGCGTCGGCTTCTTGAGAGGAAATTGTATCGCCAATAGTTAGAACCGCTGGAACCGCCGGAAACAGGAACTTAACACTAGAACTACCAAGCAAGTCAAAATAACTTGTCAATACATTTTTACAACGACGATTAAAATGTTATGACAATACATTTTCTCAGATTTTTTGCACCTTTCATTACGATATGAATGTGAAGAAATTAGTGAATTTCTAAATTTTCAAAAGTTTTTTACGTATATCCACCGATCGAAGCAAATATGCGTTTACCGTCGGTAGTTGTCGTGCTAAACCGGTATGATTTTGATACCGATACTATACCATCAAAGCTATACCGAAACCGATATATTACTGAAAACTGAAATAAATACCGGTATTTTTTCGATTTCTATAAGGGTAGGGCTTATATATGGTTATATAGAGCGAAGGTACAACCGAAAATACCGGTATAATACCGGTTTATTTACGTATATTTTACGTTTCGCTAGAAGTCCCTGGCTGGATCCCACTGGTACCTTAAATATGTCATCGGTGGTTAGGTTCAGTGGCGGCTCGAATCACGAGTGGCGATACAGTAGACTCTAACTATATTGCCATGTTCGGGGCTGTTGGGGAGTAAAATGGCAATGAGTTTAAAGCCCCCTCCATGCTAAATTCTGTCACCATGACCTCGGCTCAGCGCCTGCGCAAAAGCTGGATCGTCTTGGTGGGAGAGCGAATTTGTCTGCGCGAAAGTACGTGTGAAGGGGAAGTGCCTCATGTGGCAATGTGTTCAGTGGCAATATAGTTAGAGTCTACTGTACTTCGTTGATTTATCGCGGCCACGATGCCCAGATG